ACGGACGATAATTAAGTGTGGCAACAGGATATTAAAAGTATCAAAACTTAAGTATTTCAATTAACAAAATAGTGTTAGATACTTATTTTTTTTTGTGCACGGCGTGTGTTTCTGAACTTGACAGAGACATCCAGATCCCCTTGTTTGTAATTCTCCGGAAAAAAAACACACATCCATGCTCGCTGGATACTTCACGCTTAAACATGCAAAATGGACGACAAAAAATTAAGCCGCGAAGGGCTCCGAAATGGCAGGACTTTCGAAACATACATACCCGTTACCTAAAAAAAAATGTTTCTAAATAAACAGATAAAAGACAAATTACATATAGCAATGAATTGTTTTGATAATTTGTATGAAATTAGCCTGTTTTGAACAGAGAGTATTTAAGTATTTCTACCGGAATTTTTATAAATTTTTTTTGTTTTCATTGTACAGGTGATAATGGGGGTTGGACCGTTAGATTGTTCGAGAATAACAAATTTAACACATTTATGCCTGATTATCATCCTTTGGAGTAATACCACTAATTGGTATGCACCGCATTGGCAGATCTACGTGTGTTTTTCTTTAATCTCCGTGCAGAATATTAAAACATTTTTACTCAAAAAGTCCAGATCATTATCTAAAATTATTTCTTCCTCTTATTTTAACTGATAAAATACGTTTATAAGTCAACCTGTTGGGACAAGTGGGGGTTGCATATATTAACGAAAGTCGGAAAGGACTTTTTAAAGGTTTATTCTAAATCAAAATGGAGGCACCAAACTTCGATGAACATTTGATTTCGTGGATCGACTCAACAACGAAATCCACGAAAATTGGTGTTCCACGAATAATGATGAAACCACAGTATATCCTTAATTATAATAAAAATGTATATTTACCAATTATCTCTGACAAAATGACGTAAACTCTACAGGTGCTCATTTAATAGATTTTTTCACATGATGATGCCGATATGCTGCACAGCGCGATGAATGTGAAGTGTAAAAAATGTACAATGCACAGCTGTAGCATATTCAAAACAAAAGTTATATTTACAGTACTTGCTTTCGTTTGTAAGGGATTTATTGTACAGAGAGGCGTGGCAGTCGAGTCGCGCAGCGACGAGAATGGCACGCCTCTCTGTACAATAAATCCCTTACAAACGAAAGAAAGTGTCTGTAAATGTCTTGTGTCATGGTCATTTGCATAGTCACTCCTTCAGCACCAAACTGCACGCGACATTACGTCATAGGCCTAGGTCCATCGTAAGTGAACAGGCCCGGTGTTCAAACAAAGCAGAAAGTACGAAGGAGATGGTTGGATTGTGTTAAACGAGTGTGAAATTGTATTTGATGGATTAATTTAAGTAGTATGAGTATTTCAAAAACCGTAACAAATACAGGCACAATACTGGAAACCTGGATCCGCCCGCACTATGACCCGCTACATTACTGTTACTAGGGATACGCTTGCATGTTCCGAGGAAATCCGAGTCAAGTACTGTAGCCACAGGTATCAAAATTATGGAATGTAGTGTGAAATAGTCCAGATACAAGTATATACGAACATGTATCAGTTTGCATGTAACTCAAAGAACTCGGAAAACAGTTGCTATTAAGGGAATCATCGAACTGCGCGTTTTCAATATTGTTAGATTTCAGTTATCTGTTTGAATTTGAATACATGCATTTCAAGAAAGTCTGTGTAATTTTAAAATATTTGTTTGAATTAATTAACTAATGAGTTTACATGTAATCCTCATGAAAATGGTTTTCACGTATGCTTTTTCAGATCGAAAAGGGAGGGGGGGTGAATTTTGTGAGGTTTCTCATTTTTCCTCTGGATAGGTTGTATATGCTTACAGAAATTGAAGAAAAAAATTTCAAAAGTATTGAGTTCCTTTGGAAGTTATTGTACAGTACATTGGAAGTAATTGTACGGCTAAGCTCCGCTCCCTAGAAGTTATAGTACGTTGGAATTCAGCCAAAGGTTTTCTATCTGATTTAAAGTATGGCTTACATCAAAAGAAAAAGTACCGCACCATGACACAATGAAATATATAGTCCAAGTTTTATTTATCATTATTGTATCACGAACCCGCGTTTTCTTCCTTTACTGGTAGTAGTTCATTAATTCTTGATACACCAAGGGGGTGGAGCATCCAAATGTACAATAACTTCCAATACCAGGAAGTTATTGTACAGAAAAAGTACAAAACTGTACAATAACTTCTTACCACATCACAGGAAGCCCCACCTCCTTTTGAGTAAATGAAATCAATTTTAAAAACATTTTCATTACTTCTTGTAACATTAAACTGAACTTTTTTTTGCCCGTAAATGTTTTTACATTTCACGTACTTTATTTAAGCAAGTCTTCATTCTTAAAAATTGAAAATGTTATGTTTTCCTCATTCTGTGGCATAATCGGCTCAGCTTGCGTAATCGCCCTCCCAAACCCGCGCTTCATTTTGCTGTCAAGAATTTTCCGGAATTCACTAAACATTGGGTCATTACTGTCCAAAATGTTTTTGTCGAAGATGTTTTTATTTCCGAGGTGGCGCAATATCCCACACGATATGAGGTAGAGAGATCGGGGAGGGTATTCAATGCCATCTTTTCTCAGAGTTTCCACAATAAAACGGCCAAAGTAGAAATTCAACTGCTCTGTCGTCATTAAATGTAAGAGTGGTATTTCATCAACGGAATATACCATTACGTTTCTCCCGTCATTCCTCGAAGACCTTGAGAGCCCACGTGGTATTTTTCTCGGTGTTAGCATTCTCTTTCGACGCAATCACTTTTGAAATTTCATCATCCGTCACCGGTTTTCCAAACCGTTCACCATTATCACCGGGTTCCGATTTCATTGGTCGAGGCTTTGGATCGGAAATATCAGCTACTGGGTCCACTGTATCTAGGTTGAAAGAACCAAACTCGATACCAATTTCACTGTCCATATTTTCGGCACGATTTAAATTCAGCTTTTCACACAGACCTTCGGATATGGCATTTTCTTCTTCAATTTCATCACATACCTGCGAGAGTTCAGTATCGGTAAATCCGCATATGTTAAAAAAGTCTAAAACACCTAAATCGCCCAGGTTAATGGTCGACAAATCGTTTAATACTTCCATCCTCCTCAACTTCATCGAAGTAAATGACTAAGTGCGCAGAAATATTCCAAGAATATAACGAGGAGTTAGCGGGAAATTACTACGAAATGTCCCAATAGTCTATAGAACCAATAATATGCCGGTTGCAGAGCGGGAAAATATAACGGAATCTATCGAATGCTGTCGGCTATATTACGAAAAACCCCGATATTTTCGTGGGTTATGTACGGGAAAAAAATGATACATTCCCGTGCTGTTTTATGGAAAATTTTCGCCCTAATGTTCCGATCTTTCTGATTGGTTCGCTGATACAAGTCAGTTAAATTACATTTTATCTCGTGAATCATGGATAATCAAGGGGGTGGAGACTCGTTTGCTTCGCAAACTCGTCACCGCCCCCTTGATTATCCATGTCACACTCGATAAAATGTACTTTAACTATAACATAAATACCGGACGCTCGTAGCGATTGTGTAAATATCTTACACACTCCATTAATGTATTTCTTCTCAAATCCTTTCTATAGATTCGTAAATATAAAAATCGCTCATGAATATGAAAAAAAGAGATATATTAAAAAACAATTAAGTGAGAATACTATTATTCGATAGTTTTTAGATCTTTAATTCATAAATTTAATAAAATATGTTATCAATAAGGAAATATTTTATCGACGCAATAAAAACATTTTTATTTTTTTGGAGCACTTTCGAAAATTAATTCACAATCACAAACAGCCATTTTCAATTTGAAACACTCGTGAACACGGAATGAATTATCAAAAATTATCACCAGAACATTTTAGCTATCAGTGTTGCACATTAATGAGAGGAATATCAGCGACATTTTCAAGTGTTCAAAATTATTTAAAAATATACATTTTCCAGCAAATGTATAGCTACATTTATAGTCTAATTTTGGTTGGAAAACTCGTCGACCACCCCCCCCCCCCCCACCTCCAAAGAATTGAAATTTATACGCAAACCTACCTCTTATAGACTCCTATAAGGTCGATGGAGAACGAAAATATTTTTACATGTTCTTTTTTTCGTTTCTTTCTTTTTTTATTAGGTTTGAGAAATACATTACTGCTTGGATTTGGACTAAATATCTGTTATTTAATTTTTATATATTGTTTTTTTTAAAGAAACGGAGAATCTCGAACCTTCAAATGTTTCCTCGTCTGGTTTGTAAAGGCGGATATAAGTTTTATTTTAAATTAAGTGAATATGTATCGAAGAACTGTGCTCGCCCCAGCGCGGTTGCACTGTCAACATAATACTTCTTCCAATACAACAGGCAATTTAAATTCAAAATAATTCTGATGAATTTCAAACGTTGCTTAGCGCTTCCCAGTACTTTCAGTACTTTGATTAATCTATTATCACAGAGTTTAACCTATATAACTTTTAGGTTGCAATTTAGAGAGAAGGGCGGATAAATAGAATGTTGGACGTTTTACGTACATGGTTCGTCCCTGTTGTTAAACTAGCATTCAAACAGTATTGCATAAGCAATATAAGTTACCTATTCGCAAGTAAAATCTGATTTCCCCCCCCCCCCCAAAAAAAAAAACGATAATGGGAACCGAAGTTCAAAGTTGATCTCCAACTTGTCAATAGACTATCATGCTAAAAACCATGTAGAAAAAAAACTCAGGGAAACGAACTGACCGACAGAAAAAGGGACAGGGAGGAAAACGCCTATAATCCTCTATGGTTTACTTTATAAAACCAGCAAAAGAATTAGTGATTAATAAAAGAGTAAGACTCAGAGATGTGTTCATATATGGAGAAATGAAATGATGAATTAAAAATTATTCTATAACACTTGAACACTTACAATGAACACTTGCACGGTGATTTTTGGGCATTTCCTATAATTTTTCAGATAGAAAATGATGAATCTCAGAATTCTACAGTTTCTTTTGTCTGCGACATGTACTTCCGCGTATGGTAAGAAACTTTGGATATATTAAGTGCATTATTTAGATAAAATATCTGATTAAATGATATATTTTTTTAATGCAAGGGCTTAAATTTAGCTGTTTCGGTTTGTTAAGAAACCAAATACACTTGCCTGGGCGACGTTACGCCGAGGATAGATATTAAAACTTCCTGTTAATGTTTCAATTATTTTGAAATGTTGATTTATAAATCTCTTTTATTATTTTTTTTATATGAAAGTTGATTTATCTCTAGATCGCCTGCACGAAAGGGTATGTTATTGTCTGTAACACACAGTTTAATTGGATTCTTATATAACCTGTACATATAAAATCAAAGTACCCAATCAAGGTGACATCTGTTGTGAATGTGATACAAGTTTATTGGCAGACGCAAAAGCGTACATTGATGAAGATAAATGGAAAATCTTTGAATAGCTTTGTTTACCTCACCAAATTACATATGCTTACAAGCATATCTTGAGAAAAATTTTAGCAAAGAAAAACTTTTTATAAGGAGGGCTTTTTCAGTTTTCTCTGTGTGGAGCCGTCTTGTTTTTCCATGTTCTGGTATTATTGTTATCCTGGATATGAACCAAAATTTTCAATTTTCTCTATGGAAGAAAATAAGAATATACATATATGTAAAGTAATATCCCTGAAGTTGTATTTTTAAGTATTTTTGTTACTGATGATTTGTGTGTTCAAATTCAAAATAGAACGATTTACTTGCTTAGACAATTAACGAAAAATTGAGACAACATTGTGAAATTGCCCAAGTGCGAATGGAACACAGGGGAAATCTGATATAAGTGTACTAAACACAGGGGAAATCTGATATAAGTGTACTAAAGTTAGTTAGTGCCCAAGGTTAAATCTATACAGTTTAAAAATAGGTCCTTTATTCTGTTCATAAGTCAATTTAGCTCTCGGGAAACCGGCCTGGCAGAAGAACAATCATCAAGGTAAAGAAATAGAATGGGGAGCAGAGAAGGCAGTGGATGGACACTTTTCTGACCGCTCAGCAGGAGGAAATCAGTGTACAATATCAGCAAATGGAAAACAGACAGCGACATGGAGAGTAGATCTACAGAGAGTGGTCAGCGTCAGTTACATCAACATCTACTACAGGACTGATAATGCACCTAGTAAGTTTGTAATCAATTTAAAATAGTTCTTTTCATTTTTGTTCATCATTATTATTCATAGCTCTATCAGATATAAAATTACGCCGATACATTTTAAATGCTTCAAATATAAACGTTGTATTCCTTGGATATGATATAGACTAATATGCCATTGAAATATAAAAATATGTTTTTAACTGAAAGACTGTAACAATATTATTAAACATTTTCCAGAAGTTTAATCAATCCAAAGTGATTCTATAGATTTCTAATGTAAAAAAAACACCTTTAAATTAGTTCAAAAAGGTCTTTAAAAGGTTGCAAAATTGATATTCAAGCCAGAAAGTTTAAAGAGATGTAAAGGTATAATAATATTTAAGAAGCCAAACATGTTAATAGGCAAAGAGTCCAAAGTAAAGGTCTTAATCGAACGTGTTTTTAATCCAGCAAACAGAGTGTTTTATACTCACAGGGTTTTCCAGTTCCCGGATATAAAATCGATTTTTATGAGCTGTCTTTCCATTATCTTTACAAATACGCTGGTCTGTGGATCTGTCAGTTGATCAATAAACTACAAAATGGCAAAATCCTACCATCAAGGAAAACACATGATTGTAATATTTATGGGTTAAATCCATCTTGCAACCACAGGATGTCTCGGTCGCCCGAATGGTGCAGTGATTAGAGGGTGTGCTCTAGAGTCGTAGAAGACACATGTTCTAACCTCAGTGCAGGGCATGCAGACCGGTCCTTCGGATGAGACCGTATAAACCGAGGTCCTATTTCGCGATGGGTTCTGACACGTGAAACCGATCCTTCACTGCTCAAGGGCCGTGATTTATCGATTTGTTGATGTTTTACGTCCCATTCGATTTTTGCCATTCGAGAATTTTTCAATCATATAGAGACGTTACCATATACCATAGACCTTTACTCGGCACTTAGGGCCGTTGAGCAGTGAGGGTTCTTTATCGCGTCAACGCCTATCGTGACAGGGGACCTAGATTTGTATGGTCTCATGCGGAAGACCCCTGATTTTCACTTCAAATGTGCCGGGCGCTTGGCGAAGGAACAGTCATTACCTATGTTCACGGCTTAGGTGTGACGCGGGGCGGCAAACGAGAATCAAATCCGGGCCTCCCGATCACGAACCAAACGCCCTACCACTAGGCTACCATCATAAGGGCCGTGAGTGGCGAGTACAGGTCTATTATTTGCAGCCTCCCACCGGCAGGTTGTGGTGTCTCAATCTGAGTGAGAAAATTCTCGAAGGGACTTTAAACAAAAACAAACAAACATAGAAACTAACAAACTCAGGAGTTCTACATGTAGCTGTAAGCTCTTTACACTTATCTTCTTCAGTTTACAGTTTAAATTCTCATTCTTAAATAACTAAATGCCTAATTTGCATTTCCTTTTCAATGTTATTACTTAGAATCGACGGTTTGATTGGTCTCATCGTATCAATTTTATTATAGAACACTTTGTAGTTACAGTTCATCATACCAACATCATATTCCAACATGTTCAATCAAGATAATTATAGATCAATGACTTGTAATCCTTCTTTTATTTATCCTGTCATCTTATTTGGCAAACAATGTATAACCCTCCTACTTTAAAAGGCTCAAACGTCCCTACTGAGTTTAACTAGTAATAAATTAATTGAGTATAGCTCATCATCACGTATTGCATGTCATGGATTTTAGAAATGAATTATAATGTTCTGTTTGTAATAGGCATACATTTTGTACATGTATATAAATTAACTCATTTGCATATTTATTCCCCAAAATAGTCTAAAATTTATTTTCTAGTAACGCATTTTCAATCAAACATCGTTTTACAATAGAATACATCGTAAATGTCCAGTAGTGTTGGAAATACAGTTTCTTGTGTTGTGGTGTTTGAGAACTCGAAGTGCCCAATATTTCCTCGCTCGAAAAAGTGTATATTGAATAGTTCGAGACTTCTATCTTAGTAGCTTGTTACATTTCTAATGCCATCTAGATTTCCATATAAGTGGACACTGTATATATCCAACACAAAACCTTATATGTAATCTGTACTTGAATTAAAAAGGAAAACAATATTATTAGCTCACCTGACCCGAAGACTCAAGTGAGCTTTTCTGATCGAAATTTGTCTCTTGTCTGTCGTTATTGTCGTCGTGGTTTTGGTAAACTTTTCACATTTTCATCTTCTTCTCCATAACCATTTGGCAAAATTCAACCAAACTTCGCACAAGGTATCCTCGGGTAAAGGGGATTCAAGTTTGTTCAAATGAAGGGCCACCCCCTCTACCTAGGGGAGATAATAAAGAAATATTGAAAATTTGTAGGTATCTTTTAAAAATCTTCTCAAGGACCACTGAGCCAAAAAATTGAAACTTATGTGAAACATTTTTTACATAGTGTAGATTTCGACTTATTCAAACCATGACCCCGGGGTTAAGGTGAGGCCACAATGGGGGATCAAAGTTTTACATAGGAATACATAGAAGAAATCTTTGAAAATCTTCTTCTCAAGAAGTAAAGCCATGTTTATTCATATCAATATGGAAGCACCCTCAAGTAGAGTAGATTGAAGTTTGTTCAAATCTTGACCCCCGGGGGTAGCGTGGGGCCACAATGGGGGATCAAAGTTTTACATAGGAATACATAGAACAAATATTTGAAAATATTCTTCTCAGGAACAGCAAAGCCATGTTTAGTCATATCAATATGGAAGCACCCTCAGGTAGAGTAGTTTTAAGTTTGTTCAAATCATGACCCCCGGGGGTAGGATTGGGCCACAATGGGGGAGCAAAGTTTTACACAGGAATGCATAGAATTATAGAACAAATCTTTGAAAATCTTCTCAGGAACAGCAAAGCCATGCTTAGTCATATCAATATGAAAGCACCCTCAGGTAGAGTAGATTTAAGTTTGTTCAAACCATGACCCCCGGGGGTAGGGTGGGGCCACAATGGGGGATCAAAGTTTTACATAGGAATGTAAAGGAAAAAATCTTGAAAATCTTCAGGAATAGCAACGTCTCGTTGAGTTATATGAATATGGAAAAAAAATCTTGAAAAGTTTTCTTCTCAAGAAGAGCAAAGCCATGATATTTAGTCATTTTGATATGGAAGCATCCTCAGGAAGTGTAGATTCAGGTTTGTTCAAATCATGACCCCGGGGGATTGGGTGGGGCCACAACTAGGGGTCAAAGTTATAAAAAAAAAGAAGATAAGGAATATATCAATAAAAAAATTTCTTCTCAAGATCACCAAGCCAGTCATAATTATCCAGAAGCATCCTCAGGTAGGGAAGTTTCAAATGTGTTCCAACATGTCCCTGAAGGCAGGGCAAAGCCTTAATAGCGGAACCACATTTATAATTAAACTTTTCAATACTGAACTGATTTCTGCTTTTTCTTAGCCAAAGTGCTCAGGTGAGCGATGTGGAGCATTGGCCTCTTGTTTATTATAACCTTATTTAAAACTTACATCTGCGTTTGTGAATATGTATATTTATACAAGTATATTAATTGTTTGTGGTATGTGTCCTAATTTATGACCTTGAATTTTGGTAAGAATTATCTTCCTCTGTGTTTAATAAATAAAACAAATCAATTCTAAAAAACTTATCTGAAAAAAAATGTCATTCTATTTCTAATGTTTTAATGCATCTTACCGCCACAGTATCTGTTGATATTATTATTATTCAAATTTCTATTGTTAAAAAATCGCTTGTCCCCATCAGCTTCTTCAATTCGACATTTCAAAAAATTTCATTAATGAAAAATTTATTGTCATTCAAACATTGATTTGACATGTCCCATTAAACTCGAAATTATAGACATCAACTGATTATTCGTTAAACTATAAAGTAATATTATAATTATACGTATGTATATAAAACGGAAAATATACTGTTAAATTGGAGTAATATTACGTATGCAAACTATGTTTATTAAAAAGAATTACAATCAGTGTGCCATCTTTATGGAAGCAACAGTTCTTGAATATTTTCTAGAAAGCCCTTTCTCAACTGAGTTAGTTCTTTAGAGCAGTTAAAAAAAAGTGGATAACAAGGTTGAAGAATGAATAGCTTTACCCTATTCTCGAAAAAAAAAAACCCTTACCTACAGTTCATAAATTTTACCTTAATCTACGGCAAAACTTTGAGGTGTGTTTTCTTGTTAATTACGCATGAATTCTATAAAGTCTCCTTCTGGGCATATAAAACTGATGCTGCGAAATAAAATGGTACAAAAGAAGTAAAATTTTACAATAGAAGTCTCAACTGTCACATATCTGCGACCTTTTTCTTCGATTATCCTGTTGTGATTTATCCAATATGCAATAATGCTTCCCCCTCCCCTCTCTCATGTATTACTGCACGAGACACCTATCGTGGGAAAATTGTTGCAAACTGAGAATGAATTTTAACGCTACTTCAGTAATTCAATGTATCACAACAAAAGGAACTGAAGAAAACATTAAATAAATCATATTAATCAAGCGTTTTGCGAAACAAAAATCATCGAAATATTTAGATTTCCAAACTGATATAACGTATTCCCTCACAACTTCTATAATGACTAAATTGTATCTCCTGACAGTCATCAGATATGCTTACATCATAGTCAAGCGCTTTCGTACACTACAAATCATCCAAATCATCGAGATATGTTAAAAATTTCAAACTGATCTAATCCAATTGCATAACGTCCGACCTGTTTCCTCACAACTTCTAAAATGACTAGATATTTTACCCCTGGAACACGTGTCATCAAATATGTGACAAGTTGCTTACATCATAATACATTTCGTATTATTGTACATGTATATACAGATTCATTGGGCGTGGGAATCTCGGGTGCTCCGCTCCCTTGATTTCCACGCCTCATGAAACTATATATTCAATACCACTCGACATCTATGATGTAACCTACACTTAATTGTTCAAGAAATTTTGAAGCTAATTTGCTAGTCCCTGAGGGCTAGAGCAGATGTATATTACTGGATAACTATTCATTTTAAACTTAAATCCGCCTCCTTCAACCGCAGGAGACATTTGAAACGATTAGACTGTGATGTCAGTCATGTCACATGACGTCGTATGTTCGTTGCATTACCTAAACAAAGTCTGAAAAGTGCAAAGGAGATGGGCGAACATAGCGTGCAGAAAGCCTATAGCTTCGGAAATATAAAAATCATGTTCAGTTTGTGAATTTAATATTTAGAGTAAAGTTCTCATATTGAAATTTATGAAATTGTGATAAACAAAACTTTTCTAAGGAAAATTTTCTCGGCAAAAGTTATTATTTTATTGAAAAAATTAATGTGGTATTCGTGGGGTTCGAACCCTAGCAATAAAAATCCTGAGTATCATTTTCTTTCGAGACTAGCACGCTAACCACTAGACTACACAAGTCCTAACGAACAGTGGCATTTAAATCATGTTTGTGATATGACCCTTGACTTAATTGACTTCAAGCATTTCTCGAAAAGATGCGAATATTATGTCATAAAAGTATATTTTTAAGGTATAGTTGGTCATTGCTCCATATTTTTGGTAACCAAACAATGTATATTTTTATGCAAATTTTGAGGATTAACTTTCAAAAAAGTGGAGCGAAGACCCACTCATATCGAAAAATAGTGTTATAGTATGCGAAAATGACTCCTTTTTCCCGCTTTAGTGTGTGTCTAATATTTCACAGGCAAACAATTTCAATCTTTGAGGGATTTTTGCAAATTGTTAGGGATTTTACATAAAGTATATTTTAATGTTAGACGAAATATCAAGGAAAATTTTGATATAATTGAAATTTAATTTTTCATCTTCATGTTTGTCACACTATAGGCTTATCGCTCGTCATGTTCACCCATCTCCTTTAAATAAATAACTCCAATACACATGATATTAAAGTGAGTTTATATTTTGGTGAACATTGTTGTTAACACGAGAACGTAGTTACATGTAGCTACAAGTTTCATCGGCATTGAATTGTTGGTCTCTAGGTTACTGCGGAAAAAAATAATTATTCTTTACGTAAATCCTTTCTAGATTATTAAATAAAATTCAAATGCCCAATTCCCTCTATATAGGAATACATTAAAATACAATTGTTTTTTTTCCGGATTTTTAGCTTGAAAGATTTATTAATGAATTACCATCAATCTCATGTGTAAAAAAAAAATAGGAAAAGTATACCGGTGCAGGAAAAGGAACACAAACGGAGAAAAAATTCAATTAACACATTTCCATTTTTAGGTCCTGGTACCTACTACGGTCGATTTGCTGGATTTTCCCTCTACGTTTCTAATACCACTCTTAAGGACGATGGTTATCTTTGTTTTCATGAGATACAAACAGTGGACGGTACACCAACAGAGAACCAGACAATAAGCTGTCCTGTACATGGACGATACGTTATATACTACAACGAGAGGAGGCCGGATGTGACGTACCCAAGTTACTACTCTCAATATGCATACATTGAATTGTGTGAATTGGAAGTTTATGGTGAGTTCAATAAAGAATCTTAAATGATTGGAATACAGAAAATCCAAATAACTTACTATAACTTAATTTTTTTCTATGTTGAGAATGACACAATGTTAATATATCTAAAACAGGTTGCTCCAATCCACAGCTTTACGAAGAAGACTGTAATGAAACATGTCCTGAGAACTGCCAGGACGGGAGATGTAACATCACTACGGGAGACTGTCTGGGTTGTATACCGGGATATAAAGGTCCTAATTGTAGTCAAGGTAAGTGAAAAAAGCAACGTTGCATGGAATATGATCTCTCATTATTTCTGATATTTTTTATTAAAAAAAAATAAAGCAATCTTCTCCAAACACATTTCATTTTTAAATAATACATTTCAATGCAAGATTTAAATTGAAACTTATAGATTTGTTCCTCTAAAGAACAATTTTTTTCTTTGTGCAATTTAAAATGATAATGGAGGGAGATTCATGATCTGATTTTAGTTAAAAGGATTTGATATTATAGCATCATAGGGATTGTTTCACATTATTTAGAGTATATATAACGCGATTCCTCTCGACATGCAACTAAAACTTAAGGATATATTCTTATATAAAAGTTTCTACCATATTTCAAATATCACCAATTATTTGTATTTTTTAGTAATGGATATATGCCGAATGCAGTTCTGTTTAAAAAAAATATCAGACAGTTTGAGGCCCGTTAGGGCCAAAAACTGTCTGATATTTTTTCATACAAAATTTATGAGGCATATATCGTACTTAAAACATTGCTCTTTAAATGGCACTTTGATTTACCTGAGACAATCCGATATTATAACAAAAGACAAAAGTGTTAATGGCCACTAAATCAATTCTTTCAAGAATGCATGCTTGAATGAAAAGTACTCAGTATTGTTTTAATCAGTTACAGTCCCCGAAACGTTCTACTTTCCCACTTGAATGTAGAGCGAACGCTGAACGAACGCAGAGCGAACGCTGAACGAACGATAGAACGATAGATCTGAAAGATAAAATTATTCTAGTTGTAAACTAAATATGTTTTATTCTTATTTGATATATACTGAAAGGAAAAAGAAACGCAGGGTAAACTTTTTAGGTGAAATGTTATATATATATTTCAAACGTATTTTCCAGTTATCCTATCTAACATTTGAAATCATCTTTAATAAAAAATGTAACAATATTCTCATTTGATTTTTTCCAATAATTCATGAGTTATTGAAACATATGACAGTACCCTCCAAAAGTGAAAAATGAAATTCTCATTATCTCACATGTCTCCCTCGCGCATCTGTCACAGCCTTGATTCTCCTATGCATGGAGTTCATCAGTGTGTTTATCCTTCTAATAAGGATATTATTCAACCCTTCCGAGAAGGCAGCTCTTAGTTGATTGAGACCAGCTTGGACATTTTAAACCCCATCCTCCACGTAGTCCCACAGACGGTTGATGTGAAAAAGATGGACTTGACGGAGACCAGTCAAGTGGATAAATGTGATTGTTTGCGAGAAAATCCTGACAAACCCTGGCAGCATCGGGAGGGGTGTTAACATGCCAAAATAATAGGCAAACGACGCACGCATGTGCAAGTTAAAGGAACACTTACGTAAAGTTGACGAGCTCACAAATCAAAATCGCGCTATCGATTTCCTTCAGTTTTGGGGTGAATGTAACCATTATGATAGCCTGCTGTATTAATAGCAGTTTTAGGGTAATGTGATGGTGATTATACAGGTGGCAGGATGAATAGCCCGATCTTGACATGGCGCTGTTACGCGTCAATGTCATCGTCACGGTTGGTTGTAAACCTTTCTACGCCCTCTCTGAGGACAGATGAGACGTTCTATTGTGGAAAAATTCACAGCAAACTGCACAGAAGACTGTCCTTGCCGTTGTCCTTACTTAGGCAATGCAATAGCCAGACCCCATGGTACTTCCGTCAACTGTACCTTGATTTCAAGAAATGCAAATCAACCGTAAATATCGAAAAACGATGTGTATAACTTAAGTGCAGCAAATGGTACTACGAGATGTGTTGAAAAACATGTCGTCATCGATATGCACGTGTTTTCTGCATTTTATCACTTTCCTTATGTGACGTCATACATTTCACGGTTGAGTAGTTCTGAACACTGACTTTAATGCACAATAACCAAGATATCCCTCTGACCAATTTTCATAATTTTCGTCTATACATGCAGTCAAAAAATTTTCGCATATTATGTTACCCTGCGTTTCTTTTTCCTTTCAGTATATAAAACCATTACAAACAATGATTTTCGAAGAGGTTATTACCAACTTATAGAATTAATTACAACTGTTGTAACGTTAACAAAAATGTATTTCCGTGTCGAGGCGATTCCGTGTAAATAATGAGAATAAAAATGAAAATATTTTGCAAGGATCTGTGGACGTATTGCATTAATACACTTGTATTTTAAAAATTTAATGCACTAATGTTTTTATGTTTCTCTTCATTTTTTTCCCCGGATGATTTACTAAGCAGACTTCTACATGTATCTGTAGACAATTCCCCGTGATCATACTCGGACAAGACGATACAAAAAAAGCATTCATATTATTTGTTATAGATTAAAATTTCGGAACTTGATATCTAAATCATAGTTTTTTGATTAAATGGACAAATTAGAGAGAGAGAGAGAGAGAGAGAGAGAGAGAGAGAGATTCCGTTTTAGCCCCCCCCCTTTTCCACAAATGCATGTATACATGTATGAACAAAAATTCTTATTTTTTATTTAAATATATCAGGCAGTGGAAGTAACCTTTTTTTAAATCAACACATTCATTTTGTTTGACAATCATAATCGTTTGTTTTTATTTTCCTGCTTCAAGTTCACACGTGCTTGTCCTGTCAATCAAAATCATTCGACACTGTGCAGGTGTGAAAGTGTCGTCATACCAAAGGCGATGTGCTATACTGTTGTATTTCCAAGAAGTTTAAACATATTTTATCATTTCTAGATCTGATTCCATCCCCCCCCCCCAAAAAAAAAAAAAAAATAATAAATTAATTAAATACATTAGGCATAAACATTTGGAATGAATTTGAAACATACTCCCTGGCCAATTTAAAATACCACCGTCGGCACGTGTATTTTTTGAACTACTATTGTTTAATGACTTTTTTAGATGCATGTTGTTTTGATACTGAAATTTGTGCTGCAAAACGCATTAACTTCTTTTTAAATAATAATAAAAATATACTGGAAATACTGATTAAGCAACCGATTCAGGCGGAAAAGGGGGGGGAGGGAATATAAAGTTATTGTGAAGGAAAGAATTTTTTCTCTCTAACACTAGACTCTATATATGTAAAGTAGAAAAAAAATGTAATGTACTCCATTTAAATAAATATCTTTTAACCACACTATCAATTTAATTCGCTCCAAAGATATTTTATTAAGTGGATATCCTCAGTACTATTTCACGGCCAGGAACACGTTAAGTTCCTAGACAGTACCGTTGTCAGAAACCTTTAAAGTTAAGCACTAAAACTGGTTCGTTGTCATGAACATACAGGTGAGGTTATGATAAAATCTGTCCGGTGTCATGCAAATATATAAGAATTTATACATGATGCCTAAATTTTAACGTTTTTGACAAATTCCAAGAATAAATTTGTATTTTGGGAAACAGATACAACATTCAGTATTCCATACAAAGATTTATGTATTTGATATCCACAATACATTTTGAGGAGTTTTGGTTGGCGATCACATGCCCATGTGTGAAGCCATGATTATGAGCTGGAAAATTATATATTTCTTATAATTAATTCATCGAAATGGTGTCTTTATTTTAAAATATGAAGAGAAACTTCATTTTCAATGTATTAGGCAACTGACAGCCTTTTGTAGCTAACATGTTTTAAGAAATCGCAGTTTATAAGCAAAAAGTCCGTTGTCAGTACATGTTAAGTTTATCTGGTCCGGTGTCATTTTTCTTAACATGTAAGTAAATCAATAAAATGCAACAGAAATGATCAAATATATGCTTAATTTAAAAGAATACAAAGCATATTACAAATACATGTATATTTGAATCTCGGGGTCGTCTTAAAGCAGCTCACACCAACGTGCTAACTATTCTGCGATGTTTTTATTTTCAATTCATTTTCTCTTAGGAACCTGCGTCCTATCTAGTATGCAAACATATACAATTCCTTGTATATCATCAGTATAACAAAATTAAAATGTTATGCTTAGGTCACATTTAAGACGATGCTCGGGCGACCATATTATTTTCGTATCGTCGGCTGAAAAAAAAACATGATCGGCCGACACTAGTATCGGGCGACGCAGAGTAGTCATATTAATTCCTAGGAACACCGATACTTTTAAAAGTAAAAAATTAATACTTATAAGTTGGCCAACCGTCACCCGATCATCGTTCGCTAGGCCGCAGTTTGATTTTCATCTTCGGTCGACAGTTGTACGAAAACCCAATTCCTAAATGTCGACCGACTGACGACCGACTTTAAAAACTATTTGCCGATGGTCGGCCGATGATCGAAGGTTGGTGGACGGACTATTCAATAAGTGCTTCAATTGAATCGGCCACAGGCGAAAAAAAATAACTTGACCCGACTGACATGCATAAAATTGGTCGGCCGACGAAAAAAAGAGATAAAAATCGGGCAAGACAACGGCCGATAATATGCAACTGATGTGGAAGCATCCTCAGGTAATGTAGATTCAAGTTTGTTCAAATTATTACCTCCGGGGGTAGGATGGGGCCACAGTGGGCTATCAAAATTTTACATAGGATAACATAGGAAAAATCTTTTAAAATCTTCTCAAGAACAGCAAACCCATGATTGGTCATATTTATATGGAAGCATCCCCAGGTAGTGTAGATTCAAGTTTATTCAAATCAAAGTTTAACATAGGAATACATAGGGGAAAATCATTAAAAAATCTTATTCTCAAGAACAACAAAGACTTGATTGGTCAAAATAAAATAAAAGCATCCTCAGGTAATGTAGATTCAAATTTGTTCAAATCATGACCCAACAGAGGGGCAAAACAGGGGATCATAGTTAAATAAAGGATTATAAAGGATATATCAATAAAAAAATTCTTTAGAAAAAAAAGCCATTATCAGTCATATTAGTTCAAAAGAATCTTTAGGTGGTGTAGATTCAAGTTTGTCTAAATCATACCCCCCCCCCCCAAACTTTAATATTAAAACTTTTGAATACCTAAGTGATTTCTGCTATTTCCGAACCAAAGTGC